AATCCTAATGGAATATGTCCCAAAACACACTACAGAAAACCATTTTTAATGGTTTTAATGGTTAAAAATTGATGGTTTGTAATGTTTGTAATGTTATTTGTTGTGGAAATCATTACAATTTTATGTGATGGTTTTATTTATTTATTTTTTTCAGTAGAGACATAAGCCTATATCTGTTTGTGGCTGCTGTGTGTCATATGACAAGCATGAGATATTGGGGCCCCCCCCTTTAGTCGTGCCACCTCAAAAATGATGCCTCTGACACTACAATACAAAATTATTTGTCAAATAAATGAAACATGATGAAACATTCATTTTAGTTGAAATTGTTATAGATTACATCTAGATTGCAGCGATACATGACATGGTGAAAAATGACTGAATGAATAATAGGCTACTTAAAGTAGTTTAAGATGAATTTTAAAATTGTGCCCCCTAAAAGCACAAGTGGCCCCTGTCTGGCCCCCCGAGTTACTGTGGTCTAGAACCGCCCCTGGTAAGCATACAGTACAAGTAGTTCCCTCATTGTTTACTCTTAGCGCAGAGGTGAAGTGAGTCAAAGTGACTCTGTACTTTATTTAGGGTAGTATAATTATACTTCTCCTTCATGACTATATCCACACCTGTCCATAATTGATATTGTTTCCTCCAAACGTGTCAGAAGCATTGAGGTTCCTGCAATTGGGAGCTGACCTTACCTTCATACTGAGATGCAGGTGTTTAGCATTACACTGCTTCTGAATTAGACATATTAATGAGTACATGACACAGCATCACCAGGCTCCGTCTGAATGACAAGAAGTGGTCCGCCCGAGGTCGCCGTTGTCACATGTTGACCCGCCGCATCAGGTGCTTAATTAGAGCTTGTTTTCTTCCTTCCTTCATCCCATCTCACACTGATTCACACCATTTGAAATTCTCCCAGTGACATCACCAACAGACTATTGATCTCACCTGCTAATAAATGTGGTTTCCCTGGTGAGTCTCGCCATCTCCATGGCAACGGCTCCCCAGTCTCATTCTGCCGCTGGTTTCAGGCCCCCTCTCAGCTCCCCCAACAACTGGTTTGCATTTGCCACCTGGAGTCTGCCTAGATTTGCACATCATCCAAAATCATTTTAGATTATGCAGATTGCATTGTCTTTGTTATACATTGCCATGGAAATGTGCTTCCTGTCTTTGTAGATTTAGCATGTTTCTCAGTAGATTATGCAAAAATAAATTGCATACGGTACATGTGATGCACAAATAAATGTATATTTTTATCAGATTGCAGAGTTTAAGAGTCCATATATAGAGTACATTTAGACTCTAAATTGATTCGTATTGAGAAGTGTGTGCAGTAAACAGTCTGTGACTGGCGGCTATTCTCACAATTTGCTTTTTTAGACAGTTCAACATGGCCATCCATCAAAAGCTTTTGAGAGCCATGAGCAATAAAATCATTTGAAACTTCTCCCACAGTCTCTTCCTTTCATCCGTGCAGTGGTGGACAGTAACGGAGTAGCTTTACTCATATAGTGGTTATTTTGGGAAAATCCCAGGTATTTTGAGCAGTAGGATTATAAAAAATATGTGCTAATATAAAATTTAATTAAGTAGCCTATATAAAATTGCAAAATAAATCTATCTATCAGTACTTTTTTACTTAAGTACATAAAAAATCGAGTACTTTTGTACTTTCACTCGAGTAAAATTGAAAAAGGAGTACTTTTAATTAATATTTTAAGTAATATTTTATTATACGTATCTGTACTTTTACTCAAGTACTTGATTTGTGTACTTCGTCCACCACTGCATCTGTGATTTATTTTACATGTTTGATCACTGAATCTATATTTGAACTCATTTTACATTTAGCTCAGGGATGAAAACTGGGCACATGAAATGCATATAAATGGCCAATTCAATCCTGCCGTTTGATCACACATTAAAATAAAGATTGATTGTTTGTATAAATGAATTTAACAGCCTAAGTTCAAAGCATCTGCCTATATCCTGGAGCTTTGATACTGTATGCTGATAAACAGCACATTGTAAGATCATAAAATTCAGATAAGCTTCTTTGGTGTTGGATGCCTTATTTAGATTTTTTTTTAACATGAGGTTAAAAGATAATTAATTTTGATGCATTTGAATTCATTTTGGTTTTATGTGTACTTTTGAACCTCATTGACATTTATAGACCCTGAGGTACAGTACAAATGTAATCTCTGTTTCTGCTTTGACCTTTTCTCTTTTATAATTATTTTTCTTGCCTTTTTGTCACTCTTCCTCTCTCCAGAATTGAGGTTGATGATATTAATGCTAAGGAAAAGTGGGAGAGAGAAGCACTTCAGGGTGGTGTTAATCATAACTCGAACTTCTTGAGAGAGAGGATTTATTTATTTATTTTTACTCTTTTATTTTCCATGTTGTCATGTTTATTTTATAAATGTATGTAATTTCTTTCTCTTTTTTTGTTATTATTATATATCTATATATCAATGTTTCTTTTTTTAATATATAGTATACAATTTAATGGACTCTAGGAAATATCTTGTGTATTGGCAGCAGGTTTGCCAGGTCCCAGAAAAATTGACAGCCCAAAACCAACTTAAAACC